CTCCATGCTGAGCACAGAGCCCAACCTAGCACTCAGTCTCATGACCCTGAGATCATGACCTGAGCCGAAACCAAGAGTCAGACATTTAACCGACTGTGCCACCCAGGCACCCCTCAGCCACAGTATTAATATTAGTAAATACCAAAGTATGCAAATGTTTTACCTTAAAATAATTAGAGGAATAATCCTGTAATTGTCACTTTCATTGACTTGCATTCCAAGTCAGTGGAAGTGACTTGGAAGTCAAAAAGTGGTAGCATTTTAGCTAGTGTGCCAGGAAAACTACACAATCCTCAGTGCCTCTTGAAAATATTGAAATATTTTGTGAATGTGACCTTCATCCATTTTGCATGTCCTCAGTAAAAGTGAGAATCTTTGAGCTGGATTAATTTAATCACATTTTTAAAAATCCATATTGCTTTCTGGGCGCCTCGGTGGCTCAGTTGGTTAAGCGACTGCCTTCGGCTCAGGTCATGATCCTGGAGTCCCGGGATTGAGTCCCACATCAGGCTCCCTGCTCAGAAGCAGGGAGTCTGCTTCTCCCTCTGACCCTCCTCCCTCTCATGCTCTCTGTCTCTCATTCTTTCTCTCGTGAAAAAAAAAAAAAAAAAAATCTTAAAAAAATAAAAATCCATATTGCTTTAGTTTCAGTTCTCACTAAATCATTCTTTTTTTTTTTTTTTAAGATTTTATTTATTTATTTGAGACAGAATGAGAAAGAGAGCACATGAGAGGGGGGAGGGTCAGAGGGAGAAGCAGGCTCCCCGCCGAGCAGGGAGCCCGATGCGGGACTTGATCCAGGGACTCCAGGATCACGACCTGAGCCGAAGGCAGTCGCTTAACCAACTGAGCCACCCAGGCGCCCTCACTAAATCATTCTTATAAAAGATCTTTTTTATAGAAATATAGTTGACATACAACATTATGTAAATTTAAGATATATAACATGTTAATTTGATACATTTATATATTGTAATGTGATTGCCATTGTAGCAATAATTAGCATCTCTATCATATTACATAATTATCATTTCTTTTTAGTGATTGGGATAATTAGGTTCTAGTCTCTGCAAGTTTGATGATTATTATACAATACTATTGTTAATTAGTTGCTATATTGTGCATTAGATCTCTAGGACTTATTTACTACTTGTTGCAAATTTGTACCTTTAAACAACATCTGTCCTATCTTCCCACCTCCTATTCCCTAATAACTATCATTTTATTCTCTGGTTTCTACGAGTTTGGTTTTAGATTCCACATATGAATATCATACAGTATTTGTCTTTCTCTATCTGATTCTCTCACTTAGCATAATGTCCTTAAAGTCCACAGATCTCTTTCTAACATCCATATCTGATCAAGCATTTTCCCAGTTAGATTTCTTTCTCTAGTAACTGCATTGCAAATAAGATAAACTGTAAACTTCTTTGTGTGATATGATTGGTCATTCATGATCTTGCTCCTTTCTGTCCAGCTTCATCTCCAGCAACCCATATTCTCTATGCTTCCATGCCTTTGCATGTGCCCTTCTATCTGCCAGCAGTGCCTGTCCCATGAGTCATGGGTGGCAGCCTCCTTTCAGGTCTCACTGCACATGCAGTCGCTCTGTGAAGTAGACTTAGGTTTCTACTACAATGCCTCTACTATGTTTTATAATAGCAGTTTTTATAATGCATTATAATTATTTTCGTATCTTGTTTTCCTTTTATATTTTTAGCTCCTAAGAGCCAGTTCCTTATCCTTTTATCTTTGATTTCCCAGCTTTTAGCATGGAATGTGGTATGAAGTAGATGCTCAATAAATATTTGCTGAATAAGTTCAAAAGAGTGGGACACCTGAGTGGTGCAGTCAGTTAAGCCTCCAACTCTTGGTTTCTGCTCGGGTTGTAATCTCAGGGTGGTGGGATTGAGTGCTGTGTCTGGCCCCAGCCTCAGCACAGAGTCTACTTAAGAGTCTCTCTCCTTGCCTCACCCCCCCATGCTCTCTTTCTCTCTCTCTAAAAATAAATAGAGCTTTAAAAAAATTCAAAATGAGTTCCTCCAAAAATTTTAATTTAGCCCAAGTATTTATATATTATATGTGATAAAATTAAAGATTAAAAATATATTTGTGACTCTGATCCCATATTTCCTGGAGCAGTTCCAATTTTAAACAGTCTAATGTATTGTCCTTTAAGAATAAATGTAGTTACCAAGGTACAATTTTTTGTTTAGAAATATAACATTGAGGAGCACCTGGGTGGTGTGTCGATTAAGCATTCAACTCTTGGTTTTGGCTCAGGTCACGATCCTCAGGGTCATGAGATGGAGGCCCACGTTGGGCTCCATGTTCAGTGTGGAGTCTGCTTGGGATTCTCCCTCCCTCTGCCTTTCCTCCTGCTCATTCTCTGTGGTGTCTCTCTCTCTCAAATAAATAAACTTTAAAAAAGAGAGGAAATATACACATTGAACATATACGTCAGCTTTTTAATTGTTTACAATTTATTTTTATACTTTGATTTCTTCATGTACTTTATTTTTTCTAATTCAGATCATTTTCAAAGCAATAGATAATAGTGGAAAGGTGAAATTTAGGATGGAACAATACCTGAATTGTTTTTCTAATTGTGTCATTTTGCTGTGCACTTTGGTCCTAATTACTGCACAACTGTATTTATATGAATATAAATGAATGAAAATTAATGGAAATTTAGAAACCCTTAGGTATAAGGATCTGTATAATAAGATTAAGGTTGGTACTGACAACTGAACTCAAAAATACTCTGATTTTAGGATGCTAGGATAGTAGCTCCCAATCTTTTTGGACTTCTATTATTCTGGTGTGGCTTCTTTGATTTGGGGAACCCAATTATTTATTTATTTTAAATGAATAGATTAAAAATAATTTTGGTTTGAGAATGCATTAATACCCTCAAGTTGATTAGAGAGTAGAGTGTATCACATGGCCGTGGAGGGTAATCATACATGAACATGCGTTTGTCTTTGAGAATTCTCAGTTAGGGTCTGGTGTTGGCTCTAACTTATTACTGTCTTTGACTAGATGTTAGCAGAGTAAAAATAGTAAGTTTGGAGCCAAAAAGATGGGATATAAATCATGGTTCCATGACCTACTATCTAAGTTTCTTTGGGTAAATCAGTCAGTCTGAGCTTCAGTTTCCTCCTCTGTATAATGAGATAATAATACCTATGTGAAAAAGTTGTGAAAATTAACAGTGGTTTCTAAAATAGTAGTGCCAGGTAAGTTCTTCATAAATCATAACTCCTATTTGATTAGTATTAATAAAACCCTAGGAATAGGTAAAAGGTTTTTCTGTTACACTAAATTTCAGGTAATTTGTCTTAATTGAGTAGTTGTTATAGTACCTCTGTTTTCCTAAGCAGGTTTGTCTTTAAGATTCTAAAAACAGAGTGGTTTACAAAGGATACACATCAACATGCAGAGTCAGTGCTAATTACCATGTCCAGAAGGGCACTTCCCTTCACTGCTCTCCCCCAACATGCCATTTAGAGGACAACATGAATCCATTTACTTCACTTTTCATTTTATTATATATAGTACTCTTAGTACTTCAAACTGCCTGTAGAGGTTCCTGGTTGTATTTAGGAGCTCATTTGGCCAGAATCCTTTGGTCTAGTCTGGTCTAGTTAGAGTCTCTCTCTCTCTCTCACCTTCTCTACAATCAGATATTTAAATCACTGTCTTTTCACTCACAACAAATACAACTTTTGTACATTACAGGGGAAAAATAGAAAGGAACTTCCTTAACCTTTAGTCATTGAATCTACAAACCTACTTATCTTTCTTCACTGCTTCCAGTTCAAGTGTGTCATATTAAGACCCACCCTTGATCCACACCTGCCTCTAGTTATTGCTCGATCTGCTTTTACTTTACAGTGAAACTTTCTGAAATGCTATCTATGTTCTTTTTTTTTATGTTCTCTGTATAATCACTATTCAGTAATTGAAATTTGGTTTTGTTTACTCTCCTTCCCTAGAACTGCTCACACTCTTCTGATTGCTAAATCCTGTGGCATTATCTCTGTTCCTACCTTGGTCTCTTGACATTGGTCTTGTATGACTACTTTCCTCTTAAAAAATTTTCCTGTTCTGTGTACCATACTATCCTGTAGCTTTACCTGCCTCTGTGTCCACTGCTTCTTTTCAGCCTCTTCTTCCTCTTTCAAGTCCCTTGAATGTTGATGTTTTCTCCTATGTCCTTTACAGATTTTTCTCAGGATTTAGGAGGTGCCAGGTGAATATTTGTTAATGAACAAATTATGTCTGTGTTTCTTAAGAGATTCACTATAATTGGACCTTGTTAACTGAACAAATTGCAATATATCATACCTGATGGTGCACTTCACAAACTTTGGTCCAGTCTTTCTGGACCATGATTCTCTTAAACTACCCTACTGCATATTTCCGGTGAAAAAAATCCAAGCACATCATTCAGCTTTTTTATGTCTATGAGGTTCAGTTAGCTTTTTTAAGTGGTCTGTACATACACGGTAATTGCAAAGATAATTTTAAAGAGCATGCATTATCCCAAATTTTTACACCAGTTTGACTATTTATAGAAATCTTATAGCCTTTAGTTGTCCATCCTCAATAAAATAGTAATACCTTACTGGGAGTAACAATTTAATTTAAATATACTCTGAGGTATATATAAAGTTTAGGATTAGACACTGTCCTGTGTGTTTGCCTACATTGTATATTTTCATCTTTCATCAACTCTGAGAGATAAATATTCTTAGTCATCTTGTAGAGAGGAGAAAACTGAGGTTAGGGTAAGTTAAATAGATTTTATACCATAACATATACAGTTGATAAAATTCAGAACCAGAGTTCTGACTTTACGGCCCATGCATCTCTTCTAAATGATACTGAAATTATAAGCTGGGGATGAATGCTAAATACAGAAATAAATGGGGTAAGTATTTGAGTTTAGTAAATCTAAATTGTGTTAAAAGTTGTCTGTGTCTTTTTGTTCCTAGGCAGTTATTTGGCAGAAAACTAGAGTATCTGATCATAAGATGGCTCTCATGTCTGTTCTGGGGACTGGCGTTATGGGCAATATGGAATCCTTTCAGTATCACTCTGAAGAGTCTCAGGTATACAACAAAATGTTCTTAATTAATTCTGGCTTACCAGTGAAACTGTCAAAGTACTTTTCTCTTGGGGTTTGGGGTGGCGAGAATTTTTTCTTGTAACATTTTAATTATATGTGTAGGGTAAAAAAAGAAAATACATTTACAGATTATATTAACCCTCTCTCCCCAGCCCTACTTCCTGTTTTTTCTATTTGTTTTTAATTTTAAACATTGTGGTTTCATTATTTTTTATAATGATTTTCAATAAAGGATCTTATCTATTTACTTTTCTCTATGAAAGAAGAAGAGTTGGGGCACCTGGGTGGCTCAGTCGGTTAAGCATCCTGCTCTTTATTTCAGCTCAGCTCATGATCTCAGGGTTGTGAGATTGAGCCCCACCTTGGGCTCTGCACTTAGCAGGGAGTCTAGAGATTCTCTCCCTCTCCCTCTGCTCCTCCACCCAGTCTCACTCGCTCTCTCTCAAATAAATAAATCTTTTTTAAAAAATGTTAAAAAGATAAAGAAGAGTTGAGCTTTCTTACCTTTGTTTTCCCTTTACCATTCTAAATATGTACTCCAGCTTCCTTTTCTTGATCTCTCAGCTTCAGTGCTTCTTGAGTTCCTATAATGCTAGATGAGGTTATGAATTATGAACACTCCCACTCTTTTACTTGCTCTTCCCTCTCTCAATCATGTCAGCTCTACTTTTATGTTATCGAGCTTAATAACTTGTCGTCTTTTGCAACCATTTTTAAGTCTCCATCTTTTGTTTGAAAATTGACTCTAAAAGTTGAAAACTTATCTGGAGTATACTGTGTGACTAAAAATAATTTTCAATGCAAAGCCAAGTATTGTGCTAGGATTACATTTCCTAAAAATCCATGTTATGTGTCATTTGTATAACAAATGAGAATATTTCTATTGTCCCAATTAAATGGAATCTCCTTTCTTGTTCTCCTATCACCGGCTCAAAATTTGCTTATATATGGACTTACATAGTTTTTGCTTTTTTCTGGGTTTTCCAAGGTTTGGGTTTTGGTGTTTTTTTTTTTTTTCCTTTTTTCAAGTGAAGAAATTTTCTTCATCATGTCAGCAATTAAATCCAGCTCTTTTACTTATTCTAGCTATAGCTGGTAATTTATTCTATTCCATTTTTTTTAAAGCATTAGATTTAGAACCTAATTTCTTATTTGGACTGATTGCCTGTCAGGCGTTCTACACAGCTCCCATCCTGGAATTTTTTTCATAGGAATACTAGTTGTTTCCATTATTTCACATATCCCATGCCTTCCTCTTTCTTAGTATTAATTCTCATTTTTTTCATGTACATCTTTAGTTAACTGCCACAGAAAGGGGACATGAGAGGTAGACTTTTATGTACGAGAATGACTTTGTTTTGCGCTTTCACTTGTTGACTTTCTCTCTAGTCTGGTAGATCTACAATTCTAGATTGAAAATAATTTTTCAGAACTTTGAAGACATTGAGTACCTTTGGCTGCCCATTGTTGCTGATGGGAAGATGAATTCATTCTAGCTCTTTCTTTCTAGCTGATAAATATTTTTCTTTCTGAATGTTCTTAGGATCTTTCCTTGGTCTCTATTCTTCAGTTTTTCAAGAATGTCTCTAGATGTGTGTCTTTTATTACTCATTTGCTTATTATGCTGAGCACTTGTGAGACCTTTTGAATCTGAAAATTCGTTTCTTTTTCAGCTCTGGGTTATGTACTTCCATCTGTCATAACTTTGATCATTTTCCTCTTTCAATGAAACTCATTATTGTTGGTTTAGGACCTTATGTTATTTCTCTCTTACTGTTTTTCTCAAGTTTTGTATCTTTTCCTTTTTCTCTACGTTTTTAGAGAGGGCTGACTCTCTTTTATCCCTTCCGGATTTTTTTGAACGTTTTATGTTTAATTTCCAAGAGCTTAATTTTATTTTTTTAGAGAGAGAGAACAAGGGTGGTGGGGAGGGCGGAGGGAGAGAGAGAGAAAGAATCCCAAGCAGGCTCTATGCCCAGCACGGAGGCTGATGTGGGGCTTGATCCCATGACCCTTAGATCATGGCCCGACCAAAAATCAAGAGTCAGACTCTCAACCAACTGACTGAGCTACTCAGGCACTCCTCCAAGAGAGTTTTCAAATTTTACTGCTTTTTTACAACTTCATATTGTTGTCTTGTGGATACAAAATCTTGAATCTCTCTAGAGATACTAAGTTTTATTTCTATTTTTAAATTATTTGTTCCTTAAATTATCTCTTTTTTAGGAGGTCAGTTTTGTTTTGCTTTTCAGGTCTTTTTCCTCCATGCCATCTTTTTCTGTGAATAGAAGTCTAATTGGGAACTCAGTGTTTGTGCCTGGACTTACTGAGTGTCAGGCTTCACTTGAGTATTAATTAATCAAAATCCTGGTCCTGTTCCCACAGTCTGGGGGAATCACAGGTGCCATCATGGGGTGGGGGTTTAGCACACTGCACCCATACTCACTGCTCTAGTTCTCAGGAAATTCATTTCATCTCTTTCCTCCCCCCCCCAACCCCGTTCCTTCCCTTCTTCTTTTCTTTTCTTCTTCCTCGCACAAAATTAGATAATTGTAATTGGTTCATGACAGATTATCCTTATTCAGTTTTTTTTTTTTTTTTTTAAGATTTTATTTATTTATGTGACAGAGAGAGAGATAGCGAGAGCAGGAACACAAGCAGGGGGAGTGGGAGAGGGAGAAGCAGGCTTCCTGCCGAGCAGAGAGCCCGATGTGGGACTCGATCCCAGGACCCTGGGATCATGACCTGAGCTGAAGGCAGATGCTTAACGAGTGAGCCACCCAGGCGCCCCCCTTATTCAGTTTCTTAATAGAAGAGTCTGTAGTTTTTGCTTGTCTGCACATTTTAAGCCTGAAGGCTCTCTGTTCTGCTGGACAGTTGGTTTCTCTCCTCTTCTCTCTCTCTTTTTTTTTTTTTCTTAAAGATTTTTATTTATTCATTTGAGACACAGAGATAGAGATAGAGAGAGCATGAATAGGGGGAGAGGAAGAGGGAGAAGCAGGCTCCCGGCTGAGCCAGGAGCCCAATGTGGGGCTCGATCCCAGGACCCTGGGATCATGACCTAAGCAGACGCTTAACCATCTGAGTCACCCAGGGGCCCCTGTTCTTCTCTTCTTTTTTTTTAAATAATTTGTTGAAATCTCTTTTCTGCTACTAGTTCTTCTATTCTGCTTACAGTATTAAGTTCTTAATTATTATCATTTTATTAGTCTTGGATGGGAGCTTGTGCTCAGTTGATGTTCTCTCTGCCTGAGGAACAATTCAGGCCAGCCTTAGGGGCCACCTGTAGTGCCGTATAGTGGCACTAGAGTGACATAGGTCCTGTTTTTCAGAGTTCCCTTAGTAATTGTTCAGTAGTTTCAATATACCCTGGTGCCACCTTAGACTGGTTATGGTGACTGACTTGGGATAATAAGGTACTGTCTTGGGACAGTAAATTCTCCCAGGTCCCTTGTGGTACCTACACTGGTAACCCAGGAAACTTATGACAGGAGATCCAGACTGATATCTCGGTATTGTATTGTGCTCTAGGTATTCTAGCTGTCATAGTTTGGTTTGAAGACCAGCAGCATTGGCATTACCTGTATGCTTGTTAGAAATGAAGGGTCTCAGGCCTCATCCCAGACATAGGGAATCAGGATCTGTATTTTAACAAGGCCCCCAGGTGCCCATTCAAGTATGAAAAACACCGATTTAGACCTTGGTCAATTACAATTTTATGTGTGACTGGAATTATCCTGTTAAATCCTTTTCCCAATGGGAATTTTTTTCTGTGATCTGTATTGAGATGTGTTGCCAGATCTATGTTTGCCCACTGATTTTTTTTCTTTTTTTTTATTCTTATGTTAATCCCCATACATTAGATCATTAGTTTTAGATGTGTTCCATGATTCATTGTTTGTGCATAACACCCAGTGCTCCATGCAGAATGTGCCCTCCTCAATACCCATTACCAGGCTAACCCATCCTCCCTACCCCCCCTCCCCTCTAGAACCCTCAGTTTGTTTTTCAGAGTCCATCATCTCTCATGGTTCGTCTACCCCTCCGATTTCCCCCGCTTCATTCTTCCCCTCTTGCTACCTTCTTCTTCTTCTTCTTTTTTGCCCACTGATTTTTAAATTTTCTCTTGAAATAGAATTGTGTGAGGGCTGCTGGTAATCTATCATAGATTTTGCTATACCTTAATGTGGTTATCCTTGCACAGAGTAATTTAGGAATTTGGAAACCATGTGTTGCTGAATAGTTCCAGTTCCATGGGTTGTCAGAATGATAAACTTTTGAGTGTGTCTCTAGTGAGAGTGATCATAAAACCAAATCCCTCTTCTGTTTATGTACTGTGTATCTAAATGGGTGTTGTACTTAATGTTGCCAGGAGCTCCCCATCACCACTCCATGCTTTCTGGGCTTGTAAGGAGGGTTGTCCTATATCAGAGTTTCTTTGACCCCTTCTCATTCCTGGCCAAAAGCAATCTTAAGTTGTTTGCCAACTGCTAATAGTTGCCCGATCTCACCTCACTCTCTCTATTCAGGCTGTGAAACTTGGCCACCAAGACCCCTTCACTGTACTGGGATGGCAGATGCATTCATCATTGGGAACCTTGGATACAGAGAATCTTTATATATCTTTTCCCATAATGTTGAGGGTCCCTTTCTTTAACTACAGCCACTTCATGTTGGAGAATCTCTTAATTATGGATGGTGATCCCAGCTGAATCACTGCTGTGATGGCATTTATTAGGAATTTCCCAATGTGCCTTTGTTAGCTTAAGGGAACTCCTCAAATTTTATTTTGTTTCATGTTTGTTTTTTGTTTTGTTTTGTTTTTTGACATCTATCTTCTCTTGATATTTTTATCTCTGCATTTTTCCATGCCAGGTTCTGGGTAAATTCTTCAATGCTGCCTGATTTTTATTCCCAAAACTGTACATTTCCAGGATTCAGAATTTATTCATTTTCCTATTCTCTTCTAAACTTGTTTATAGCTTATGAGTCTTGAATTTTTTATCATCTGGTTTTTTTAATAATGGATGTAACTTTTCTTTTTTGAAAGCATGGTACGTGTACTATTTTCAAAGTTCTTTTCATATTGCTTTATCATTTCTACTTTCCTGGGAGAATATTCTCTTATTCTCTGCTATTTTATATGCTTTGAAATTTTAATTTGCACAGTCATCGTGCGTGCAGGTTTATTGTTTTTGTTATTTTGTTTTTACCCACTCCACCTTCTTCCTCCTCGTGGTTTGGCAGATACCAACCCCCTCCTGGCCCCAGTTCAAAACCAGGTGCTAATATTAGTAGTTCATGCCTTTCGTCCTGCCAGGATTTTATAGACCCCTTTTCCTAGCTGACTTGGCTTAGCTTTATTTTTGATTTTGGAGTTATCCATGTTCCTTCCTGTGACCCTTGCAAGCAGCTCCATAAACAGTGGTCACAATATTTTTAAGCATTTTTGAGGGGGAGGAAGAGGGCTGTCTCAGCAGCCCATTTCACATGGAAAGACTGATTTTAATCTCTTGCCTTGTATGTGTTTTCTGTCCCTATTTCCACATCAGAATATAATTTCCAACTGACACAGATGGTTTCTTCTTTTAATTGAGATACAGTTGATATATAACATTATATTAGTTTCAGGCGTACAACAAAATGACTTGTTATATATATATATTGCAAAATGATCACCACAATAAGTCTAGTTACATCCATCACCACACATAGTTACAAAAACATTTTTTTCTGACACCGCTGGTTTGTAATACAGGAACACATAGGGCTTTTGATTTCAGCCATCACTCTCCCTTATGTTTTGCATCCTTAACATCTTTATGTTGTCTTACTTTTAAATGATTCAGTCTTTTGAGATTTTTGTAAAAATTGATTTTTATCTATCACTGTTAATGTATTTGCAGTTGGAATCAGGGAGAAGGGAGTTTCTGCATGAACTTGTCCCACTGTCCTGAGCAGAAGTACTTAAATTATTACTTTAGAAACGTAACTCCCTGGTGTTCTTTTTTTTTTTTTAAGATTTTATTTATTTGACAGAGACACAGCGAGAGAGGGAACACAAGCAGAGGGAGGGGGAGAGGGAGAAGCAGGCTTCCCGCCGAGCAGAGAGCCCAATGCAGGGCTAGATCCCAGGACCCTTGGATCATGACCTGAGCCGAAGGCAGCCGCTTAACGACTGAGCCACCCAGGTGCCCCTCCCTGGTGTTCTTGAGGTTTACTGAAAGAGGAAACTACTGTTAGGAGACCAGTCAGGGTTACCTGAGCAGAATCCGAGAGGAGAGGAGATGCGTTTGACAGATTGGGTCGCTGGCAGGGCTCATTATTATGCTAAAGGAATACAGGAGGAGCCAGTTGTATAGCAGGGCAGCGGTGGGGTGAAATACTTTATCAAGTTTTGAATGTGATGAGATTGAGAAGATTTTTGTGATAGCTAGTTAAAAATAGTAAGCATTTGGGGGTGAAAAAAATGAAGGCTATATATTTGTATCTTAGTATCACTGATGTATGTGTATAAGATGTGAATGAAATTACTCAGAGAGTAGAGACGAAGAAAAAAGGCTTTGATGATGGAACTCATGGGAACCATCATCATTTATAGGTGGTAAGCAAAGGGAGAGAAATCAGCAAACCAGACTAAAGAGAAAGTATCAGGAAGGAAGCAGAAAGACCAAAAGAGAAGGCTGAAACAGGGTGATGCTTCCCAAATGAGAGAGTTGTCATCGGTGTCAGGGTCTGCAGAGAATCTTCCCATGTATCACCGCAGATTCACTTCTCTGCACGTCCTGCCTTGCAGAAAGTGGTCGTTTTTCTGTTCATAGAGTTGCTGCTATTCTTTTCTTTGTCCTCCAGTTGAGTTCGTAGGTGTTCAGAATGGTTTGATAGCTATCTAGCTGGATTCCTGGGACCAGACGAAATTTAGGTCTCCTACTTCTCCACCATCTTGGACTCTCAAGGGTCTGCAGAGAATCAAATAAGAGAAGGACTGAGTGTCCATTGGAGTCGGTTATTGGAGGTAGTAGAAACCAGATTATAGGGGGTTGGAGATGAAGAGAAGGAGGGAGAGGTCCATAGTTGCAGAGCAATCAGGGAGAAGAATTTGTTTATATTTTTGCCTTTCATTTTTGTTTTGCTTTCTAGGTTGAGGAATACTTACAGAATCTTGTATGGTCAAATTTTTTATTTGGTTGCACTGATTTAGTCTCTTTCTTTCCCTTTTTTTTTTTGTTTGCACTGATTCGGTCTCTAACAGACGTTCTTTTTCCATAGACTACCCTGATTTTTATTTTTAGAGCATTTTATAAGACTTTGCTTTTTTATTTTACTTTTCCATGTAACTTAAATGTACTTTGTTCTTAAGGTTATCCTAAGGCATTTTTAACTCAGTATTTGGAAATTATTCAGTGGACAACTAAGGTGGTGTAAAAGGAAAACACCAGCAATATTACCAATTTTTCCTCATTTTATTTTTCATTCCTACCTATTTGGGGCAGTTTTGTTTTAAGTCCACAAACCCAGTAAGTCTTTCAGAGACTAAACAGGTGCTTCCTGATGCTCAGCAGTGCTTTAAAAAGGGTTTCATGTTACCTGGTAAATTATACAACCATTTATAAATGCTGTGAAGTTTTACAGTTAATTAAGTAGCATTTTGTAATGGATTATCCAGCTTTATTAATTTATTTTTTAAATTGGCACAGTTTGGCACTGTGACAATAATGCACTTAGTGTTCTAAAATTGGTAATGCATCTCCTTAAACATTTATTTCCAAGGGTAGGGTAGGGATAGCCATAGACATAGATGGCAGCCTACCCACTGTGTTGGTAAAGAGCCTCATGGTTTCTGCTTACCTAAAAATAGCATCTCCACTGACACTCTCACTTTTCTAGACCTAAGAGCTGAAGACCTGAGACCTAAGACCTGAAATTTTACTATTAGTGTTTCTTAACAGGTTAATATAAATACATCTGTTTCTAGTTGTTTCAGATAGAGTACAGGCTTATATTTTAAATAATTTGACCAAGATCACACAGCTAGTAGTGGAGCTGGGATTTAATCATGTCAATCTGACTCTGTCCTGTATTCTTTACAAATCTCTGTATTATCTTTAGAGGTAAAAAATAGGAGCCTTTTTTTTTTTTTTTTTTTTTTTTGGCTTCTATCTCCTCAATCTCTCTCTCCTCTCTGGTATTTTTTTCTAGGATCCTTCATCATTTTCTCCCTCCTTTTCATACATTTACAAAATAGAGAAAGAGCATAAAAATAACTGGTTTGATTGTAGAAAAGTTCTCTAAAGAAAAATGGAAATAAAGTACTGTAATTGGTGTCAAAGAGTAAAAGGATTTTTAAATGAGAAATGAAAGCTCCATCAGATTGACTCCACAAGATAGAAACAGCCACTTCTTTACAGGAAAAGATGGCTAAAAAGAAAAGGATAAATATCTAAAAGAAAGTCACAATATGAAGAATTTTTAAATGGTAAAAGAAATTTTAAGAAGAAAGAAGATAGGGTTGAACAAGCAGCAGTATTTATGCTGTATGTCCTATGACAGTAAGACATATGCCCATTCATGAAGCTTTTATGAATGCCAATTTTTCCTTAAGAGTTGTAGGAAGAGGGGTGCCTGGGTGGCTCAGTTGGTTAAGCGACTGCCCTCGGCTCGGGTCATGATCCCAGGGTTCTGGGATCGAGCCCTGCATCGGGCTCCCTGCACGGCGGGAGGCCTGCTTCTCCCTCTCCCACTCCCCCTGCTTGTGTTCCCTCTCTCACTGTCTCTCTCTCTCTGTCAATTAAAAAAATAAATAAAATCTTTAAAAAAAAAAAAAAGTTGTAGGAAGAGAGAGTTTCAGGCCAAGAACACCAGTGTAATATGCTTCTGTGTTTTATTTAAGGTTAATGTTCAAGACATGGTTATCAGCAAGTATAGGACTCTTGAGACCATAAAATGAAAATCCATTTTATTTTTTTATACCTTTTGTACTGTATATAGCCAGACCCTTGGTCTCACATTCATTGTTGACAGTGTTTACTAATTCTGTAACTATTTATTATAATTGCAGATTTATCTAAGTGGATTTCTTCCAAAGCATGATGCAGACCACTCTTTAACAAGTCTTTCAACCCCAGAAAGGAGTTTTATCTTTATAAACAGTCGACCAATACATCAAAAAGACATATTAAAGGTAATCTATTTTAGAAAAAAAAGTATTACTTGGATCAGAAATAAAAACTAGCTCTGTCATTTGTCAGCTTGTTATAAGGACTACTTCCAAGGATTTGCTTTAAAATAAGAAGGAGATAAACAGATACTGTAATATTTATTAAGCATTGTACTAGATGTCTTACATAGGACTTCACAACAATTCTGTGATGAATTATTATCCTTATTTATAGTGAAGAAACTGAAATGTTAGTAACTAAGAAGTTAGTGACTAAGAAGCCCATTATAGCCAGGAAGCAGCAGAGTTTGGATTTGAACCCTGGACTTTGAAAACATCCATGACACTATGATCTTTTAACTGTGAAGCCAGTTGCACTGGGTAGTTGTACTTCTTAATGAATGCTTGTGCTTCATGTAAGTTCAAGGCCTCCAAATGAGTATTTACCATTTAGATACTGCTTTTCCTCATAAATAATTACATCCACTCAGTTTCTCAGCTGACTATACTTTTTTGGCTATATTTAAGGATGGCAGTACTATCTTTACATGGTATTTTTATCTTTTCTTTATTACATATATTTCTAGCTAATCCGACATTATTACAATCTGAAGTGCCTAAAGGAATCTACTCGCTTGTATCCCATTTTCTTTCTGAAAATTGATGTTCCTACAGCTGATGTGGACATAAATTTAACACCAGATAAAAGTCAAGTGTTATTACAGAATAAGGTAAATTTTTGCATAATTTTTTTTATGTTTTTTTACAAACTTATGCAGTCCTAACCATTTTCACATGGGAGAGTTGCTTGTTTATACATATTTTTAAATATTATTTTAAATCTTGCCTATTTATTATTTTCATAATTTTCCCTAACATTTGTTAATTTATATTTTTAGGAATCTGTTTTAATTGCTCTTGAAAATCTGATGACGACTTGTTATGGATCACTACCTAGTACAGATTCTTACGAAAATAATAAAACAGATGTTTCCTCAGCTGACATGGTTGTTAGTAATACAACAGAAACAGATGTGCTTTTTAATAAGATGGAATCATCTGGAAATAATTATCCAAATGTTGATTCTTCAGCCATTCCTTTCCAAAATGATGTGCATAATGATAAATCTGGGAAAAACACTAATTATTGTTTAAATCATCAGGTACATGTTGATGACCATTATGATAATTTTAATAGTGAAAATTCTAACGTTGATAAAAACACTAGAAATACATTTCAACAGATCCCAGTGAATAATTTATCATGTGAGGATGCCCAGAAGGAATGTAGTGAAACTTGTTTTGTAAGTTCTGTTAAGCAGACCCAATCAGAAAATGGCAATAAAAACAGTAGAGATGAGAGTAAGAAAAATGAGGAAGCAGCAGTTCCTGAGAAGTCTTTGGAAATCTGTGCAGATGACTGGAGCAAGGGAAATACACTTAAAAATTCAATGGGAGAAAACATTGAACCTGTGAAAATTTTAGTGCCTCAAGAAAGTTCAGTATGTAAACTCAATAATAATGCTTATCCAAGCCCTGAACAAAAGAATCTCAGTGAAGGTTCCTGTAACAAAAAATCAAATGTAGTAGATAACAAATCTGGACAGCTTACAGCGTATGATTTAATTAGCAATCGGGTAATCAAGAAACCCATGTCAGCAAGCGCCCTTTTTGTTCAAGATCATCGTGCTCAGTTTCTCACAGAAAATCCTAAGACCAATTTGGAGGATACAACAGTACAAATTGAAGAACTGTGGAAGACATTGAGTGAAGAGGAAAAACTGAAGTAAGTTTCCAGAGCTTGCATGTGACCTGATGCTGAGATATTTCCATTCTATATGACTCACTGGGTTAAAAAAAAATTTAAACTTCTTATTTATGGAAAAGTAGAATGGAAAATGCCTTTTGGTTTGGCTAGAGTACCTTTTTTGGCATCACTTTTTTAAATTTAGAGAAGTTTTTTGTTTTATTTTTTGTTTTGTTTTGTTTTTGGTACAAGTCTTAACTACTTTATTATTAAAATTTGAAGTTAAAGGCTTTCCATTCTTTTTAATTTAAAACTATATTTTCTTCTATTTCCTTTTTCTTTTATGTTAAAGAATCTATGACAGGACTTTCTCTTTTTTAAGCTTATGCATTAGAACAATTATAACAGTGGTGGTTTTAAAAAAGATCTTGACTATTCCCTTTTTTAAATTGGTCTCCAAAATATGTAACACAATATGAAAATTACAATATTTTTACAGATTCAATTTAGTGGAGTCAGTACTGTCCCTATTCAGTACAAACTGAAGGCTTCCTTCTAAAATCTTTTATTTGTTGGCAACTTATAAACTGTGGCGGGGTGTTTTGGTAGGTCAATAGGTGGTTTGATCTATCTTTGATGAATATAAGTACTTATTGCCATTTTTAGATTAGATGAACTAAATAAATATTATAAGGCAATATGATGAGTGTTTATAGTTGACTTAGGGCACTTATTACAAATACAAAGTACTGTCTTGAGTGATCTAGCCCACCAGAAAACAAAAGAGTGGAATTATACTTCCAATCATATATTATTATGTAGGGTATCTCAATATTATGTTAAACATCTTGAAGAAAATTTAAACATAACTTACCACTCAGAGTTTTTATTTGGTGACAAATATGGACACTTGACCGATTTTTTTTTTTTTTTTTTTTTACTTTTTCATTCGCTTATTATCTTATAAAGACACTATCAATTTAAAATAATAATGACCACTATTTTTTGTGTGTGTGTAGAATGCAACTTTCCTTTTTTTAAAATTTAAATTCATTTAGCCACCATATAGTACATCATTAGTTTTGGTGTAACATTCAGTGATTCATTAGTTGCATATAACACCCAGTGCTCATCACATCATGTGCCACTATAAACACTGACAGGCAAACCTCCATAAATTAGCTTCTCTCTTTACCTTTTTTTTCTTTTTTTTGGTGGGGACGGTTGTGTTTTTTCTATTTTCAGGCATACACAGAAGTAGACAAAACAGTACTGTGAGCCCATAACCCTGTTTCACGAACCGTCATCTAATGGTCAGTCTCATTTTATCCATACCTCCATGCACTTCACTTCCCCTTTTACTATTATTATTCTGAAGCATATCCTAGGATAATATCCTTTATTTCATAAATATTTTATTATGTATCTGTAAAAATTAAAAATGCTCCTTTTTAAAATATAGCTGTAATATAATCATTATAATTTTTTTATTACTTATGATTTATTCATAATAATAACAACTTACAAGCACAGAAACTAACACTTACAAAGTGCATGTTTAGTGCTGGCACGGTGCTAAGCTCTTAAAATCATTATAATTTTTAAAACAAGATTTCCTTAATATCATCAGATATTCAGTCTTTGAATTTCTAATTACTTAATAAATACCAGTTTTTTTAAAGTTTGTTTATTTGAATCAGGATGCAAATAAGGTTCACACCTTGTGATTGTCTTTAGTTTTATCCAAATGACATAGTCATTTTAAAGATCAGTGCATTTAACTTTTAGTACAGCAAGCCCACAGTAGTGGAATTGCATTGACCAGGGAGGTGATGTATTATCTGAGAAGGAGGGGAAAAAGCATAGATGTTTCCTTTTCCTGGAAGGTAGGGACAGTGTAACAGCTTAAGATAGCTGTTCCCTTACAGCCTCACAATAGCAGGTATTGATCCAGTTGACTTTTGGGGAGTGTCAGCATTGTTTCTTCTTGTGGGCCCCAAGGTATCAGGGTACAGGATTATGGTTAATAGGCCTTGTCTAAAAATTTGTTTATCATCAGGCAGTATTCTAGAATCCAAAATTTTCTCTATCTTATTGCCATAAGGTAGACAGAAGAGGCAGTGTTGGTCAAGACCAGACCTCTGAAACTACACAGGGTTTTAACTCCAGTTTCTTTCTCTGCTAGCTTTTTTGTAAAAATGTGTGAACAGTATCTCCTAGATTGTTTTGAGGATTAAATAAAATATTGTGTGTTATGATGTAAGAAAAATGACTGGCACGTTGTTCATGATCTTACTCAGAGTTTTTAACCTGTGAAAAGAAAATTCCTCTCTTGTGATTGACATATTTTTCACTTGCTTAGTCAAGATTAAATTTAATATGGAGGCCAGAAATAGAAGAAAATATAAGTATTTTGGGATCAGAGAGCTTACTGTATGTCACAAAATGTTGTGTTAGAATCTTCCAGAGCCAGGGGTTTGGGGACCATGATGGCTATGTCCAAAATTATGATCAGTGAGAAAGTGCGGCAAAAATGGTATCACACTCAACAATCACAGTAACTACCACTTTTCTGTAATATTTATCTTGGAATTCTTTCCATGATCCTAAATTCTGCAGGAAATGCTAAGGGATATCAGAGTAGACTCCTCTTCTGTGGATAATGGGTCTTTCCACCTACCCTCCCTTCACTATTTTCTTATTCTTCCTGTTTCTTTCCCTTCTTCCTTCTCTTCCTTCTTGCCCTTCTCTTTCTCTCTTTTTTTTTTAAAGATTTTATTTATTTATTTGACAGAGAGAGGCACAGTGAGAGAGGGAACACAAGCAGAGGGAGTGGGAGAGGGAGAAGCAGGCTTCCTGCAGAGCAGGGAGCCCGATGCAGGGCTCAATCCCAGGACGCTGGGATCATGACCTGAGCCGAAGGCAGATGCTTAACGACTAAACCACCCAGGCGCCCTCTCCTTTTCTTTTCCTTCCTTCCTGCCCTCCTTCTTTCTTCCCCTCCTTTCCTCCCTTTCTACCTGTCTTCAGTTAGGAAATATTTATTAAGGACATTCTGTATACAAGGCCCTACGTACTCTAGCTAATCATTTCAGATATAGTGGTAAGTAAAATATACTTTCTCTACTCATAAATGATGCAGTATAGTGAAGAAGATACAAACAAATAGTAATCATAGAATACAATGAGTTGGTGTTAAAATAAATATAAGGGGTTATGAAAATACTTAGCAGTGGGTTTAATCTCATCTGTGAGACAGGAAATGATTCCCTAAGTAGAAATCATCGGAAGAGCATAGGGAATTTTCTAAATAAAACAGCTAGAAGTAAAATAGTGTTATTGAGGGAATTAAAGATGCTTTCTGTGACAGGAATAGAATATGAGAGAGTATAGTAAAGTAAATTGAGGGAAGGCAGGCCAGATTATGTAAGGTTTGTAAACCATAAAGAATTTGAATAAGCCCTAGGATCAGGGTTTTTCTGCTGAGAGCTTAGGGCAGACTTTGGAGTGGGGGGTACTTCATTTTTTAGTTCTTCTTTTCTGGATATTTTTTCCTTTGCTTTTCTTCTCCTTTCCTCTGGTGGATTAGAAGCCAGATTTAGGTCTGTGCCTGCCCACTGGGATTTCAGTCAATTGATGTTAACTTGAACTTTTCATTTGCAGTACTGTAAACATACACTTCTACTTAAAATTAGAATAATATTGTAATTGGGGTATTGAAAATGGTAAATAAATTTTATAATTACATGTAATCTTTGGTCACAAAAACATTTGAATTGATTACTGGTCAAATCAAAATTAATATTTTCCATTCAGGTTACTGAATCCCTTAATGACATTAAGTCAAAGGTAGCAGCTGTTTTTACTTAACATTTGCTTAATATTCCTTTGGACATAGCTTTTTATATTTCCCAAGGAACTAATTAAATTGACTTATTGAGTAAATCACAAGATTAGTACCATATGTGATAATTTGCACATTATAATTAATTACAAATGTGACCTTCATCTTGAACTCATTTTTCACCATAAGGGAAAAATCTTGAATTGGAATGTCCCAGAGCTAAAAATATTTACTTATAGTATGTATTAAAAGTAAACTTTTGAAAATTAACTGTTTTATGTAGCTAATCCAGAACTTCAGATTCTAAATAGAAATGGGAGAAAATCATGTGTACAAGATTATGAATATAGTCTGGTAAGTAACCAGAGAGGCATTTTTCATCTAGTTTACAGTGAAACAAGGTCTTTTTTACATTCTTACCCAGCTAACATTTCTGTATTTAACAAACATGTACTGAGTACAAACTACACAACATACTATGGTCTCTTGTCTCTTACTCTCAATTTTAAAATTTAATACAGTTCGCCCAAGAATGTCATTCCTAACACCTATCTGTATAAATTTCTCCTTAAAATTGTTTCATGTATATTACCTACAATAGAATTTAACCAGTTTCTTAAGAGTTACTTAAGATTAGAAATAGTGTTAATTCTCCAGTCTCAAATTTAAAACTGCATTTAAAAATTTTTTTAGTAAAGTTGCTTAAATAATTACCGGCCTTTAGTCAGTCATGTGCCCCATTCATTGTAAGATGTGTTTCTTGATATAAAATGATAGCAAACATTTATAATTATTTACTGTGGTGCCAAGCATTATTCTAAGTACTTGAAACATTTTAACTCATTTTATTTTTCAAAACTATGAAGTAAATGTAGATTATCTGTATATTACAAATGATTATCCTGAGGCTCAGAAAAATTAAATAATTTGTGTAGATTTGCAGAATTACTAAGTGGCAGCACCAGACCAGTCAGTCGCCAGGGTCTGTGCTCTTAACCACTACACTTTACTGAACACCTGAGAGTGGTTTTCAGTTTGGGGTATGCTTTAGAATCATCCATGGAGCCTTTCAGAAACTGTTGTTCAACCTCAATCTCGGTGTGGAGAATTTGAAAATCTGAGGGTGGGATTCAGGCATCTCAATTTTGTAGAAAAGGTTGCTATAACCACTATGCTAGACTGTCTTTGATTGGCTGTAGAAGTTTCATTAACCCAAAAGAAAAGATGTCTTGAGTTTTTACCCAGTATAATTTTAAAGTGTCCATTATCTTGTACCTTTGAAACTGAATTAAATTAAATGGTTTGGATGTATTGAGTTTATTTGAATTTATTTTTTCACTGATGACTGTTTAGTGAGAAATAAATAACAACTGAAAAAATTAATATTTAGCTATGAATCCATTACAAATTTAATCATAAAATTTTTATTTTGCCTGCTATCATTAGAGTGACTTTAAGTTTACTAGTATCTAAATAGTAAATGGAGTATTGTGTACAGATTTTCTTTTGTAGTGCTCAGGAAATTGTTTATTCCATGTTGATGTTACAGTAGATGTGTAAGGAGTTCTTCAGATGTAGAATTAACTGTTTTATTTAGTTATTTATAAGGTTTTTTTCTTTTTTCTTTTTTTAGTGTTTGTGTCTTCAGTGCTTCCATAAATGGTTTTTAAAATTGGGTAAAATGTAGCATTGTGAAATACACAGATCTTAACTGTATATATAGTTCAGTGCATTTCTATATGTGTACACCCATGTAACCACTGCCTCAGACAAAATACAGAATACTTTAATCACACCAGAAGGTTCACTTATGCTACTTATCAGCCAATTTCCATACACAGCCACTGTTTTGACTTCCATCACACTACTTTGGTTTTGCTGGTACTTAAACTTCATTTATATAAAATCATACAACATGTACTCTTTTTTTTTAAGATTTTATCTACTTATTTGAGAGAGTGAGAGAGAGAGAGAGCACATAAGCGGGGGGAGGGGCAGGGGGAGAGGAACAAGCAGACTGCCCCTTGAGCAGGGAGCCTGATGCGAGACTTGATCCCAGGACTCTGAGATCATGATCTGAGCCAAAGGTAGATGCCTAACTGACTGAGCCACCCAGGTGACCCAACATGTACTCTTATTTTATTATATTTTATTTTATTTTATTTATTTATTTGAGAGAGAAAGAGAGCAAGTGAGAGAGAGCACAAGCAGAGTGAAGGGCAGAGGGAGAAGCAGACTCCCCACTGAGTGGGGAGACTGATATGGGACTCCATCGCAGGACTCCAGGATTATGACCTGAGTCAAAGGCAGACGCTTAACCGACTGAGCCACCCAGGTGCCCTCAACATGTGCCCTTTTATGTCTAACTTCTTCTCAACAAAATATGTTGTGATTTACATCCATGTTTGTTGAATATCTTTGCATAGTTCATTCTTTGAAATTGATAAGTAATACTCAATTGTATAAATATACTGCAATTTGTTTATTCAGTCTCCAGTTGGATTGTTTCCAGTTTGGAGCTATTATGAATAAAGATGAGTTGTTTAGTTTCTAAATATTTGGGGGTATTTCTAAATATCTTATCGACTTCTAATTTATTCTGTCATGGAGAGGGAAAATACTATGTCAGATTTCATGCTTTTGAAATTTACTGAGAATTAAGCCCAACATATGATCTATCTTCATGAATGTTCCAAGTATATAACACCTAGAAGGAATCTGAATTCTGCAGCTGTTAGATGGAGTATTCTAAATGTCAATTTAATCGAGGTAGATTCCTAAAATCTTCTATAGCTTTACTGTTCTTTATGTTTTGATCTAGTTCTTCCAGTTACTGAGAGACGGGTATTAAAGTCTCCCAGCTATGATTCTGGATTTATTTCTACTTTAGATCTGTAAGTTTTGATTCATGTAATTTGTACCTTCGTTATTAGATACATACACATTTGTGAATGGTATGCCTTCCTGATGTTAGCCCCTTTTGTCATTATGATTTTTCCCTCATTATCTGTTGTGTAATTTCTTGTTTTGAAACTGATAATTATTTCATCTTCTATTACAATAGCTATTCTTTTTTATGCTTATCCATTTGCATATTGTGTCTTTTCTTTTACTTTCAAACTACTATTTGTGTCTAAAGTATAACTCTTGTAGACATATATAGTTGGATTTTGCTTTTTATTTTTTTTATTTTTTAAGATTTTATTTATTTATTTGTCAAAGAGCAAGCGCACAAGCAGGGGGAGCAGCAGGCAGAGGGAGAAGCAGGTTCCCCGCTGAGCAGGGAACCCGATGCAGGACTTGATCCCAGGACTCTGGGACCATGACCTGAGGGGAAGGCAGACGCTTAACTGACTGAGTCACCCAGGCGCCCTAGATTTTGCTTTTTTTAAAGTCACTCTGACAATTTCTGCCTTTTAGTTGGAATATTTAGTCCATGTAATGTAATAACTGATACAGTTAGGTTTAGGTCTACCATTTTCTTGTTTCATCTTTTGTTTTGTTCCTCAGTTCCTCCTTTTTGTGGGAGACAGGCAGCCTTCTTTAGCATTAAAAGAATATAATTTAATGTTTAATTTTAATTCTATTGGCTTTGCATTATTTTTTGCTTTGGGGAACATATACATCCTTAATTTATCATAATCTGTTTATAGTTAATAGGGTTCCAGACACACAATATAAGAACTTTGCAAGTATAATTTCACTTACTACCCTTGTCCTTTGTGCAGTTGGTGTCATATATTTTATATCTACATACAATATAAAACTCACTTTAAAATGCTTTATTTATTTTTGTTTGGAGTTTTTATTTAAATTCCAGTTAGTTAACCTATAGTGTAATATTAGTTACAGGAGTAGAATTTAGTGATTCATCACTTACATACAACACCCAGTGCTTATCACAGCAAGTGCCCTCCTTAATACCCATCACCCACTTAGCCCATCCCCCCACCCACCTCCCTTCCAGCAACCCTCAGTTCTATTAACGAAGCTCTTATAAGGGGCGCCTGGGTAGCTCAGATGGTTAAGCATCTGCCTTCGGCTCAGGTCATGAGCCTGGGGTCCTGGGATCAAGTCCCTCATCGGGCTCTGTGCACTTTGGGGAGCCTGCTTGTCCCTCTGCCTCTCTCTCTTTCTCTGTCTTTCATGAATAAATAAATAAAATCTTTAAAAAAAAAAAAAAGAAGAAGCTCTTATGATTTGCCTTCTTTTTTTTTTCTCCTATGTTCATTTGTTTTGTTTCTTAAATTCCACATGAGTGAAATCATATGGTCAAAATGCTATTTTTTAAAAATTTAAAGTTATCTTTCAAAGAAATGAGAGGTTTTTTTTTTTTTAAGATCCTTTTTTGCTATTTACCTACATAGTTAGCATTTTTGGTGCTCATCATTTTTTTCCTAGAGATCACAGTTCTATCTGGTGTCAACTCTTAATAGTGCAGTTATGCTGGCAACAAGATTCTAGGATTTCTTTTATCCAAGAATGTCTATATCATCTTCATTTTTGAAGGACATTTTTGCTTTGTATCATTGAATTCTGGATTCTGTTGGCCCTTAAAAGATGTTACTTACTGTCATCTGGCTCTACATTGCTTCTGATGAGAAGTTATATCCATCATTTGTGGTATTCTTTTTTTGTAATGTCTTTTTTTTTTCCCTCTCACTGTTTTCAAGGATTTTGTTTGTCTTTGTTTCTCAGCAGTTTGATTCTAATATACCTAGCCGTGGATTTCTTTGTATTTCTCCTGCTTGGGGTTCACTGACCTTCTTGGATCTATAAAATGTTTCATTTATCCAAATTGCCTAATTGTCATCCATAATTTTTTTCAAATGTTCTTTTTTTTCTCTCTTCACTTTCATATTTTTTATCTGGGACTCCAATTACATATATGTTGGGTGGCTTGTTGTGCCATAGGCCACAGGGATTTTTTTTAATCTTCATTTTTCTCTCTTTTGTTCAGATTGGATAATTACTGCTCTGTCTTCAAGTTTGTTGACCCTTTCTTTTGCCATCTCTGATCTGCTGTTAAGCCTACCCAGGGAATTTTTCATTTCAGATACTGTATACATTTTAGCTCTAGAATTTCCCTTTGGTTCTTTTTTATAATTTCCCTTCTCTGTTTAGATTCCTCTTCTATTCTCTCATTAGGATCATCTTTTCCTTTAAGTCCTTAAATATTCATGGAAACCTATTTAAAAAATAACTTTTTTTTCCCTCCAAATTCCAACATCTGAGTCATGTTGAGGTTGGTTTTTACTGGCCACTTTTTCTCTTGATCATGACTCATATTTTCCCATTTTATTGTTTGAATGATAACTTTTGATTATTTAGTGGACAATGTGGGTGATATGTTAAAGAAACTCTAGATTCTATTGTCTTCTTCTGAAAAGTGTTGGTGTTTGTTCTGCAACTATTTAAGTTACTGACAGTTCACACTGAGCTTGGAAGCCTGTTTTATACTTCCTTAGAGACTGTTTAAATTTTGCTCTTAATCCTAGGGCAGCTTCCTTAGTTCTAGGACATAGTTTTTCCCTTACCTTAGGATGTAGCCCTCATCCAGTTTTAATTTAAAGCCCAAAGTGTTTATTAAGCCATCTAATTATATAGAATTCAAACTCCAAATTCCATTTACTCTGAAGTAGGTAGTCACTAAAATCTCTGTTTAGCTCATTTAACATTCTAGCAGTTGTTTTCCTCTAGGCTTCCACATATGGAATTTTCTGGGATTTTCTCCTTCAATTTCCAGTTGTGGAAGCAAGGAACTCTGTTCTGGTTATTCAAGCTAGTAAGAGTGCAACTTATATAATGTAATATTATGTGAAATAAAAATAATAAAAATTATTTTAAAAAATTTTTAAAAAGAGTGTAGCTTATTGCTTGATTTTTTGCCACTCCCTTTAATGCTGGTAACTGCCCTTTGGGTAAAAGCTATATAAATATGGATCTCTTTTTCGAATGTTGAATCATTCCAATATCTGCCTGTTTTTGGTTGCTCTTCCATGTCCATTTTAAATAGTTTATTTCTGTATTTTCTTTAGAGTTATAGTTATATATGGGAGGGTTAGTCCAATACAAGCTCCTTCATCATTATCAGACTTAGAACACCAGCTCTTTGGTTTTTATAAAATTTACTTTAGATGGCTAATACATTTCTGATTATGACCTCATTAGTTCTATTTTATCTTTATTCCCAGATATGAAGAGAAGGCTACTAAAGATTTGGAACGATACAATAGGCAAATCAAGAGAGCCATTGAAAAGGAGCCACAAATATCATTTAAGGATGGCAGAAAAAAGATAAAGCCCACCAGTGCATGGAATTTGGCACAGAAGCACAAATTGAAAACTTCATTATCTAATCAGCCAAAAGTTGATGAGCTCTTTCAATCCCAAATTGAAAAAAAGAACCAAAACATTAAAATAGTTCAGATCCCCTTTTCTATGGAAAACTTAAAAAAAAATTTTGAGAAACATAAAATTGACTTAGAAGAGAAGGAGGAACTTTGCTTGCTTCACAATCTCAAGTTTCCTGATGCATGGCTAATTACATCCAAAACAGAGATAATGTTATTAAATCCTTACAGAGTGGAAGAAGCCCTGCTATTTAAAAGACTTATTGAGAATCATAAACTTCCTGCAGAGCCACTGGAAAAGCCCATTATATTAACAGAGAAGTATGGTGAAATAATATAATTCTTTTTTTAACTCTCAAAACATTTATCAATCCATACTAGATTAGAAACTGAAAGTAAAAAGTTAGAAGTGTTTTCTGGTAGGGAAAAGTTTATTTAAAGAAATCTTTTTTAAAACTTGATTTTCTAATCTTTAATGGAATTGTTTTTAAAGAAGTATTTAGAGTATTCTAGATAGTTTACTTCTAAAGTTAGTAAATATCAACTTCAATTCTCCTGTACACTAGTGACTTGCCTAGGATAATTTTGAAGTTAGGTTGTCATGACTCTCTGTCATTTTACACTCTTTAACATTTCAAACATACACCAAATAGAATTATATAATGAATGCCTTTATCAACAATTATCAAGATTTTGCCACATTTATTTTTCCTTTCAAATATATATATGTATATTATGCATATATATACACACACACATATTTTCTTTTTATTTCCTAAAGTTTTTTTAAATTTTTTTATTATGTTAATTACCATACATTACATCATTAGTTTTTGATGTAGTGTTCCATGATTCGTTGTTTGTGTATAACACCCAGTGCTCCATGCAGAACATGTCCTCTTTAATACCCATCGCCTGTTTTTTTAGACAATTTTTAGACAATTCCCACCCAAACATATTTCGATTTGTCTCTCTTAAAAATGACTTACCTAAGCACAACGACTTTTTCCTATCTTTCACAATATTAATTCCTTGGAAGTATTCCTCATTTTCTCAAAATAACTTTTTTATAGTTTTTAAATTATTAAGTTTAACTTGTATCTAAACAAGATCCAGCTATTACATTTTGTCTGTCTCTTAAATCTCTTCTAAATATCACAACATTAACTTGTTGATACTAAGTCACTTGTTGGAATATCTTGTTGTCTCAGATTGTCCCTTTGCTTCCTCATGGTAGTGTTCAACTTGTTTTTTCCTCTCCCATGTTTAAATGGAAGTTAGCTCAGGAGGATTGAATAGATTTAGATTCTACTTTCTGGTATGACTATTTAATAGGTTGTGATATGTGCTTCATATTTCATCACATCAAAAGGTACTTATTACTACTGGCTTCAGCCGCGGACAGCCTGCTCTCATACCTTAAAATTCCCTGTCAACCTTTCCGTCTAATGGTTTCATCCATTGATGATTGTTGCCTGAACTGATTTTATTATAGATTGCAAAATGGGCTGTTTCCCTTTAATATCCTACATGAGCAAATTGTTTTGTGTAAAAATGAATAGCTAACAGCTAGCCTATTAACATTTCCCTTTTTTATATTTGATATTTCTTTTCTTGGTCTGACAGGAGAGAATCATATGTCTGAAAAGGAGATAAAAACCTGAAATTAGAAAGATAATTGAGGGTTTGTTCTCTAGGACACTTCACTAGATAACTCTGTTTCAGAACTCCCAAGAATAAATAAAAAATCTTTAATACAATTGTGCTAAAGCCCTGCTACCAAATTATGATTAGGATTGCTTTCAATCTGTAGATCATATTGGGGAGAATTGCCATCTTAACAATACTGCATCTTCCAGTCCATGAACAATGGTCTCCATTGATTTAAGTCTTCTTTAAGAAGTTTCTCTCAGCAGCATTTTGTAGTTTTCAGTATAAAGGTATTTTTTTTTGAAAAATTGTTCCTAAGTGTTTTGTTTTTTGATGCTAATATAAATGGGGTTATTTTTTGAATTTCATCTTCTAATTATCTGCTCTTGATACATATAAAAATACAATATAATTCTATATTTAAAAAGAAAAAAAAGCCCTGCTACCAGAAGGGAAAAAAATGCCAGGACACAGGAAAACATTTGTCAGAGCTGTCTTTTTAATTAAGGCAACAGTAATCACATTCACCTAAATCCAGCATCTTTCATAGTATTCTCTTAAGATTGGTTTAGCAAACTATCAAAGAATTAGAAAAAGAATTAATACAGATTTTTGCTGTATTAAATAGTTCAAAAATCTGATAGTACTTTTTCTTTCTTCCCTTAAAAAGAGCTAGGGTGTATCTGAAATTTTAAATATGATTACTTTTCTAAATGGTATTTGTGAACTTTCATTTATATCTTAAAAATCATTTTGTACTTTTACAAATTAAACATTTTAAAAGATGTTTTCCTTTGTGATATTCTGTTATTCAGAAACAAATACATTAAAAACTATTATTTGGGGCCCATATTAGCTTGAAAATAAATCTTTCTTATTTGAACATGGACAACAACAAAGCTGAATTCAAAATTGTTTTCACCCTTCTTTTGAAATGTGACATGCCCATCACAATTAATATAAGTTTTTCTGAAAGAGCGTAATTATTGGTTGGGCTCAGTTTTCTCACTATGGTTCTAATGTAGTTTATCTCTCAATGGAGTAATTTAGATCTCTATAAAATACAAAGTAAGAGCTCAGTAATAACAAAAATGGCTAATGTTTGTTGAGGACTTACCATATGATAGGAACTTTACTAAGCCCTTTGATCTTCACAACAACCTTATGATAAAATAATAATAATATAACAATGGCATTATTTATAAATAAAGTTTTCATTTGTATTATATAGAGAGAGCACAGTTTTTGATTGCACATTTAGTTTGTAATGTTCTAAAAGAAACTTTCTTTTATGTCCATTCTTATTTCTGTATACTATATATAGTAGGTCTTCTAAAAGATATTAACAGAGATGTAAAAAAAGTAAAGTTTCTCACAGGGCTACTTACATCTTTGTATTTTGGTTACGGATCATTTTAAGGGGCCCTTGCATTAACTTTTTTCCATAAATCCTTTTATTTCATTTTACATATTTAATAAGTTAAAGGACCATAATTTCTTTTTCAGTCTTTTTAATGGATCTCATTATTTAGAGATTTTATGTAAAATGACCACAGATGATCAGAGATATAGTGGATCAACTTACCTGTCTGATCCTCGTCTCACAGCAAATGGTTTCAAGATAAAATGGATACCAGGTATGATTATATGGTTTACTATTTTCTGACTTAGAAAAAATAAGTCTTGTTCCAGAAGTTTCATTTGGGTTTCATAATGTATATATCAGGGTATATTTTTGCCTCACCAAAAGTACCATGTCAGCTATGTAAAAACAATCATATTTCAAAAAGGTCATTCATACCTTCTACCTCAGTCTTGGATATTTAGATTTGGAGTAGCCTCAATGTTTTCTCATTATAACAACTAATATCGAATAATTATAATGTACAGGACACTATTCTAAATAGTAAATGTATTAATTTATTTAATCTTCCTAATAGCCCTATGAAGTAGGTTCTGTTACTGTCTCCATTTTATAGATGGAAAAGTCAAGGCACAGGGAAGTTTGCTTAAGGGTGCCAGTTAGTAGTAGAACCAGGATTTGAACCCAAGCACTTTTACAGTCTAGCTTTTAACTAACTTGTTACATTGCTTCCTACAAAACTTGAGATATTTACTTCATAAAGTAGTTGTGAGCACTAGAGAGTTACTTAGGGAAATCAGTTAGCATAGTACTTGCCAATGGTAGGTGTTCGAATATTCTCTTTTCTTCCCATCTTCAGTACCCTTTTCAGTCATTTCTTTTAGCCATTTAGTCCTCCTAGAAATCTTCCTTGAGACCCCTAGCATCTTCTTAATTTATTTGAAATGTGAAGCAAGGGGTGTGTATAGGTATGTAATAAGGTATTTTTTTCTTAATCTGTTTTTCTAATTAACTATGTGGTATTGCTGGCAGGTGCCATTTTTTTCATGAAAAATGTTATTATCACAGCAATTTTTTTTAAGGTTAAGGTAACTACTTCCCTGTCTTTTCCAAGAACATGTTTATTTTTTAGTTACCTTATCAATAAGTTTCTGTCTGACAAACGCTTTTAGCTCTTAGTTTGTGGATAGTGTTTTTTAAGTCCTGTTGAATGCCAGGTTCTTTGCAAGGCACCAACAATATAAAAATGAGTAAGAGTCATCTGCAAACTGACTTGATTTTGATTGGAATTAATTTTTCTTAGATTGTGATCAGCATTATTTATCTTAGCAATAACAGATCAAATTAAAAACTCTCATGTTTTCTTCTTTTTTAAGCCTTTTTTTCCTGCATTAATTTTTATATTATGTTTTCTTAAAGACCATGTCTCCTCTTCGTGAGTTTGTTGTCTTGGACTAACTTTGGATGAGCAGTTTTCCAGTTGTCACAAAACATCTTTGAATGATAAGGACATTTAAAAGAGAGGAGGAACACATCTGACTTTGAGGGAAAAGTTTCTGAATGTGATCCTGAGAATTTTGCTTGTTCATGGGAATAGTTTTTTGTTCTACATCAATAAGAATTCTGTATTTTAAGAAGTGAAAACTTGTCAAACCACTTACTCATTTGAAGTATTTTCCCTGAAAATTGGGAAGCATTTCATAGAATCTTAGGAGAATTCTTGAAAGTTTATTGTTACATGGTTCCAAATGTCTGTAAGTTTCCCATATCAGAATTTTGCAAACACGATGATTAAAGTATTCCTCAATTTCTTCATCTGTTGCCAAATACTTTACCCATATCCATAAGTAGTTCTGTGAAATGTTTATGATTTTCCAAGGCAAATGTAGTCACTATTAGACTTTTCCATCTAATTGTTCTATAAAAGGTAAAGAACTAGCAATAGTGAAAAGTCTCTGGGCTAATATTTTTGTAATTTCCTTATCTATATATGTAAAAAGATGTGAACTATAATATTCTACTTCTTCCTCTTTGCCTATGTAAATCCTGTTTCAAGTCCCATTTAAGTTCCCCTGGTTGCTCAAATTCTCATTTTGTCTCCCTTGACCAAACTCTGTGTTTTATTCCTTAATGCCTGATTATAGATCTTCTCTTACTCTCCAGTTGTTTCCAGGGATGCCTGGTCTGTTTAGTGTACCACCATTGCATCTTATCCAGATCAAGGAAGTGATCTGTAACTGGAAACAGATTAGGGATAGGATCACTGACATCTCAGGATCTGAAACTCTTCAGGCCAAATCACTCCTTTTTTTTTTATTCATCTGTTGATAACTACCACTTACCCAACATTGAACTGTCTCATTTTCTTAATTCTGGGTAACATGGTGGACTTAAATATTAAGAACACTGTTACACAGAGCCAAAGAAGTCAAATATCTGCTATTTTGCAACATCTTAAAATGCATTCCAAAGCCAAATTTGATCCTTTGGAATTTATGCTGTTACGGGTATTTTACCCCATTATATATCTAATCATGTAGGTGGTTTTTAGTTTTATTTTAGTCACTAAATTATTTAAAGTAGTTTAATAAATGTCAGTTTTAAATATTGTTTTACTAAAATATTTTGAGTCAACATTACTGAGTAAACAGTATTTCATTCTCAAATTAGTAATATATTAAGTTACTATAGTGGTAATCATTTTGCAGTATATAAGTGTGTCAAATCAATACGATGTACACCATAAACTTAGTGTTTATCAATTATATCTCAATAAAACTGGAAAAAATAAATTACTATGTGAGTATTTTTATAATTTGTAAGTTAAAATAATCATAGAAATAATTCAGGCCTTTAAGTTAGTACTAAACTAGTAGAATAGAATTTGAACAGCAGCAGTTGTTAAAACACTTAAACCAGTTTTATTTTAATAAATATCATGGGACTCCATTTTCTCTCCAAAGTAAGAAATGTTCTAAACAAATGTAGGGAACAGAAGTGCAATAACTAAGATTAAATTAAGTGATATAAAGCACATGTGGTGTCTATGAGCACTTATGACTTAATGTGAAATCCTATGGGAAATTATTATTTGTTTTCCAAATAAGGAACAAAACTTTATCCTGACTATATTAAATTCTAAGGAAGGTTCACTAAATGTTTTAACAGTGATTTTGTTTTTAATAGACATTTTCTGGAATATAATTTAAACAAAACTATCTCCATGTGGTTTTATTTTTCTTTTAGGTGTTTCCATTGCCGAAGACTACTTGGAAATAGAAGAAATGGCTAATTGTCTCCCATTCTATGGAGTGATGGACTTAAAAGAAATTCTTAATTCTATATTAAACAAAAATGCAAAGGAAGTTTATGAGTGTAGACCTCGCAAAGTGATAAGTTATTTAGAGGTATGCATTAGATTATGTAGGTTGGTTAGGTTTTAACATACTTAACTATTTCTTAATAAAAAAGTAAATTTTTAAAATATTAAAGTTTCTATAAGGTTTATTATCTGTTTCAAAGAAGAAATACTACTAAAAAAAAGAAAATTCCATTAAAAATTTCATATCATAGATTGGTTGTAGTAAACTCTATAATGGATCCTTACTCTAACATTATTTCTTGAGTGCATATTGAGGAAGAGCCTTAATGCATGAGACCCTTTATAGTGAAGTTCTTTCTGATTTTTAAGAAGGGGTTCAAAATTTCTCTTGTTATACCAAATACCTGTCTATAAAGAACTACGATGGGATTTCAATCCCTGATGTCTTCAAGAGCAAAAAGGGAAGGAAAGTGAAAGATGTATTATTGAAAAAAAGGAAATTTCAGTTACCTAGGAATATCTACCACAAATGAGAAATGTAACAGTGGGTTAAAAAATAAGTTCTGAAGTAATAGGGGATGGAGGAAGATTATAAGGTTTTAGATGTCCCAAGTATAGGATAGTGGTTGGAAAACAATAGTGAATGTCTCTATGTTTGAAGTTCTATCCCTCAAGTTTGGTATTATTTCAAAAACAAACCAAACGTAAATAATATTTTTCTCCCTTTAAAAAAAATGGGCCACTTTTGTTTAGACTATAATAATGATGTACCCACTGTATTCTGAGGGTCAGGCTTCAGGAAAGTCCACTTTTTACCCTTTCCGAAGATTGTATTCAGTAGCATTCTGTAAGTCCTTCAAGAGCTTTGACTTGTGGAACTTCCTAGCCTATTGTGTGAGCAGTTTAGCACTGATAGTTCTTTTTTTCTTTTTTAATATTTTATTGTAATGTTAATCACCATACATTACATCATTTGTTTTTGATGTAGTGTTCCATGATTCATTGTTTGTGTATAACACCCAGTGCTCCATGCAGAATGTGCCCTCTTTAATACCCATCACCAGGCTAACCCATCCTCCCACCCCCTCCCCTCTAGAACCCTCAGTTTGTTTTTCAGAGTCCATCATCTCTCATGGTTCATCTCCCCCTCTGATTTAACACTGATAGTTTCTAATGACTTCAAAAGGAATCTTCTTGTGGAAGAGGTATTATAAACTTAAATGAAGGTTGAAGGAGTTGAGGTAGTGTTTTGTGTATTGAAAAGCCATGTAGGAAAAAATATGATTTCAAAAATAAAAAGAGTGGTTGGGATTACATATAAATATTTTTACTAATATTATATCTCTCATTACATTAAGTCAGTTGTGGATTGATTGTTATGGAAGAGAGTTTAGGGAAAAAAGAACCTCTGTAAGATCTACAGGAATACTTGCATTTAAGGTCAAGCTGAATAAGATGAATCAGAAATAAAGATAGGAGAGTAAAAGAAAAACCAGTAGAGGGGTAGATATAAAGGTCAAGGGAGGAAAGAAATTTAAAAATGAGAAAGTAGTATCAGATTCTTTTATAGAGTAATAGTTGCTTGAAGACCATCTGGTATGGCTGCTAGATGGCAATGGTAATAGAAAAGTAGTCCAGATGGAAGACTTACCAATGGCTAAAGAGTGGGGAAGTTAGTGAAAAAGTGTAGGCAGCAAGTCATATGGTGGTAAAAAGAAGAAGAGAGATTAGCTTGTCTATGTTGTTGGTGGAAAAGACTGACATAAAAGATTGGAGAGCAGATGTTCCAAAAGAGGCAAGAAGGAAGATGGAACAACGATAGAAGTTTTAGAAAGGAGAAACTTCTCTCAGTCAAGAGCAGAAGAGAGGGAAAGTGGAAGTAAAACTATTTGGAGGTAAACTTGAGAGAAGTCATGTATGATACATGTGATGAAGGTGTAGAAGTTATCTACTGCGAGTGAGGAGGCTGGGGAGGCATTGGGGATTTTTGAGTATAGTAGAAAAGATCTGAAAATAAGAGCTGTAGGTACTGTAAGAGAAGATTGATTAGAGAAGACTAAGATGTTCAAATGGCATTGAGCACTCATAAGAGCTGACATTGATATTGGATCCAGCCAGGATAGTTTGGTGATTTTCCAACAGTACATGGTACAGTTTATCCAAGTATAAGGATTACAAGATGAATATGGTAGAACAAGAACATTTGAACCTGTAATGTATATGAGAAACTGTTAGGTCCTAGAGGAATATAAAGTTGAATTATGTTCTAGTAGGAATCAAAAAGGAATACAGGAAGCTAGAAATAGTATCCTTAATGTCTAACTGTCTGTGCCTTAAATAGGGAAAGATGACAAGAAGGGGGCTGAGGAGATCAAAGGTCAAAGTGAAGACAAGAATAGGTTTAGTTGGAAAGGAGGAGGATGGTTGGAAAGATAATGGGAGAGGGTATGTAGTTAGAATAATATTAGGCTCAAGCTCTTTGAAGTACAATTTTTTTAAAATAAATCTTCAAAGAAACCAGTTTGCTAATACCATTTACCCCTAAATGCTCAGTTTTTCCTATCAGAAAACAGCATCACCATACCAAAAATGTGGACATTATCCTTGATTCTGTATCCTTCATAACCAGTTCATCAACAGGTTTTGACTCTACCTCCCATTCATGTCAGGACTTTTTTTTTTTTTTTTTTTTTCTTAAGAGAGGGAGAGGGGGGTGTGAGGAGAGGAAGAAGGAGAGAGAAAATCCCAAGCAGGCTCGATGCCCATTGTGGAGCCCATCAAGGGGCTCGATCCCATGACCTTGAGATCATGACCTGCGTTGAAATCAAAAGTTGGACGCCTAACTGGCTGAGCCACCCAGATGCCCCAAAATTTTCTTTGTCTTTTTATCTGTTTTGTTTCTCTACACTAGAATATAAATTTCACATGAGCAAGGATGTTTGTCTTACTCTCTACTGTGTGTAAAACCTACAATAGTGACTAACACATAATTTGTGTTTAATATGTGAGTGAATGAATAATAAGAATATAATCTATTTTCTGTCTTCTTTCTTGCCAGGAATAAAATGTTTTCTGCTTCAGGGTGTATCATGGTAAAACATAAGGCTTTCTCTTCACAGGGAGAAGCAGTGCGTCTATCTAGACAGTTGCCCATGTACTTATCCAAAGAGGACGTCCAAGACATTATCTACAGAATGAAGGACCAATTTGGAAATGAAATTAAAGGGTGTGTTCATGGTCGCCCATTTTTTCATCATTTAACCTATCTTCCAGAAACTACCTGATTAAATATGTTTAAGAAAATTTGTTACTATTGAAATTGATTTGGTAATAAAATAATATGAGTCAGTTTTTAAACCATCTTTGTACTATCATGTGTTATTTTATAAGTGAAGCTTCACTGATTTCTATATATAAAAAAATTTCAAAAACTTAAACTAACAACTATTCAATTTATTCTCAAGAACCAGCCTTCATAATAATTAATTGGTTGTAAACTCCAAACTGAAAATACCTAGTATTCTTGGGTGGTTGATTTACTAAGGGCTGTGGGTTGAATTGTGTCACCAAAATTCGTAGGTTGAAGTCCTAACCCCATTGTGATGGAATTTGGAGATGGGGCCTTTTCAGAGGTAATTAGGTTTAGATGAAGTCATGAGGGTAAGGGCCCTCATGGTGCGATTAGTGCCCTTGTAAGACGTCAGAGCTTTTGCTCACGCTCTCTCCTTTTTTCCCCACCAACTCCCATGTGAGGATACAGAGAGAAGGTGGCCCTTTATAATCCAGGAATAGAGCTCTCACCAGAAACCAAGCATGCTGGCACCTTAATCTTGGACTTCTAGTCTCCAGAACCGTGAGAAAATAAATGTTGTTCTTTTAAGCCACCCAGTATGTGATATTATATGATGGCATCCTGAGTGGACTAATACACTTGGTCAGTCCTGTGCAGAGAGAAATCAAAGACTGAGCTGGCATATCTGACAGAAGTTGTCCATGTTGTTTAAAGTAGGAGGGAGAGATGGAGTGGGAGAAAGTGAGAAAATGAAGTTTAGAGGAAGAAAGTTTAGCTTTCAAAATCCTGCCATTTCTCTTTTGGGGTAACAGTTTAGAAATTGCTCTCTCTTATATGGAAATTATTGGGCTTTGGGGTCAACATTTGTCAGGAATGGGAAGATCCAGAGATTTAATAGAAAATTTAGGTTAAGATTATTCATTATGTCCTTTAAAAAACTAGGTCCCACACATAGTGTACCAAAACACTTGATTTACAAAAAGTTGAAACATTTTTTAATGGATATATTTGTTTTATAAAGTAAGATGTGTTATACTGGTTACACTATCTCCATACTCAGTGTCATCTCCCATAATTCTCAAGAAGTTTTCAATTCCCAAGAACCTTGTGTTAAGAGGTACAAATTGTGATACGTGGAATTCTACCTGTAGCCAAGCCTTTTTTCCCTGCCAACATGATCCTCTTACCCATAACCTAAATACTATATTTTTTCCATTATCCCCTTTGAAAGCTTAGGGTCGTCCTCTGGGAGACATTTCTGAGAGTAATCCTTTTTAAATTACTGGGTAAACTGAGGAAGGAGAAGCCCACAGAGATACAGAAGATGACGAAATTTGCATCACACATTTGTACCAGCGCTAAGCAAAATTTAGGACTCATTTTCTAGCTGGTAACAGCCAATTGTTGGAAGAGATCCAATGACAGCCTCTAAGATGAATAAACTTACTTTGCTTTTTCTTTGCAGCCTTCAGGCTAGTAATAACGGCAGGTATTTACTACCTATCTGCTGGATACACGATGCACTTACTTAGCTTGTATGATCTCCGTTTAATCTTCACAACAAATTTAGGATTGTAGGTACTATTGAGACTCTATCCCTAGAACTCATGTTCTTTACCACTGTTACACTGCCTGCCCTGAGAAATAGGCCCTATAGAGTTGTTAAGTCAACAAAGTATTTGGGGGGAAAGCGCACAAAGCACTCCCTGGCACCACCGTAAGGAATGCTAGCTCAACCTCGGGCTGCAGCATTTTCTCTAAGGGAGTTTGGTGGGTGGGATCCGGGCTCCGTCAGCTGGGGCCCCGCCTCCTGGCTCCCTAGGTGGCCACGGAAGCCCCGCCCCCGCGCGCGGCCCTGACTGCCCTCCCCATTCCCCCACAAGCCCTTGCAGCAGCCGTGGCCCCGCAGGACAAAATGGCTGGAGCGGGCGGCTGCGACGGCGAAGCCCTGTCTCCCAGGATGGAGGTAACGGCCGCTGCAGTTTGGGAGGCTGGCGAGGGGAGGACATCTGGAGAGAAAGAAAAGCCTACCCTAAACTCCCCTTGTTCTCACGAGGCTGGGGTTTGCCTGGGGAGGGGGAGAACTCTCAGGGTGTGGATTTTCCAAAGAGCTCTTGAGACCCAAGGGCCTAACTTAGCATCCCAGCCATAGCTATAGCACAGAAGCGGTGCCAAAGCCATGCAGAGGCGAGGCCTGGAGGCCTCCCGATGTTGGACCTTTTGCCTCGAAGATAGCCATGCATGGCCCAGCAGTGCCTACAAAGTTACGTTTATTTAACCGACTGGTAATGTTAGGCCTTAATTCCGATGGACAGGTTTTTGTCGTTATTTACACTGGCTATTTGATTCTCTGTGATCTTACCCAGATTTGGGGGCTGGGATTGTAGGAATTGCAGTCTATCTCACCAGCAGCCTGCGTTTCTTAACTAAAAATATAAATATGACCGATTTATCGGGCACCCAAATGTTGACCCACTAACCTAAAAACCAAAGTTGCCAAGCAAACTAAAATACCAATAATGATATTAAGGTATTTAAATGAATTAGACTTGTTCTTGGAGCATTGTAGATTGATTATGGCAAACCAGTGTTGGTGGATTCATAGTTAATAAAAAGAGTCTTTGAGGTGGTCTAATCGAAACAGTTTTACCGATGAATAATTAAATGATTTGCCTCAGTACCCACAGATGATCTAGTTACTCTACTAGTTCTACTTCAAATGTTATTACCATAAACAAAACAAAGTACTGAAAGAATAAATTTTACTGCAAAGCCAAATTTAAAAAATGACTTGATTTGTCAATTACTTTATAAGCATGAATAATTAAGAGCTATCTGTTACCTTAGTCTAGATCTTTTGGTTAGTCTCACCTAAACTTAAAGAATTTTTAATCTTCAAATCCTTTATTGTTTCCAGTAATAGTAGCAACACACCACTTAATTCTCACCACTGCTGCCTTGAGATTGTTTTCTCTGCTTATTTTTTATTACACTTTTTATTCCTCCTTAAACCACTACAAATTAATGTAACAATCCTTTCTCTAGTTTTTAAAATGCTGTCCCAGTGGTTATCAAATTTGAGCCACACAAATTTGAACCATTGCCCTATCCTATATCAAAGTTCCCCCAACAATCTCAAATCCATTTCTTTTAGCTCATTTTTCATCTCTGCAATGAAGATGCTGAACTTGACCCCCAAGTGCACAATCATTTCTAACATTCCATAATTTTGTTTCTTCCTGTTTTGTCTTGAACATTCATTAGCAGGACCTGGAATAACCTCTTTTCAGTTAATTGTTACTACATTACTGTTGACCATATTTAACTGCCTCTGAACTAGGCCACTTTTTCCATAAATTCTTTTAAACTAATCGGGGGGGGTGAGGGTGGGGATAGATTTCTTCCACCCTACTCAAACTGGACTAGAAATCACTAAAACAAACCTGAGAGGTTTGTTATACAACTTTAGTTGTATATTCATTTCTTCGTTTATTCAGTAACGTTTACTGAGTGTCACACTCAGTGCTGAAAACAGACTACAAAGACATTCTTTGCCCTCTAGAGGAGAAAACTATTGCAGTACAATATGAATATTAGGATATGTAGTATGTACTATGGAAGCATAAAGGAGTACCCACTCCAACTTGGAGAAACCTATGGAAGAAACTAGTAAGCTGAACCTCGATAAGGAATTATCTGGGAGAAGAAAGAAAAGAAGGGTATTTCAGGCAGACGGAATAGCATGTGTCAGTACATGGATGAATGCAGGGAATTCTACATCATTGGATCTTGAGGAGTAAATGGAGATTGGATTAGAATAATAGGCAGTACATTGTTCATAAAGGGTCTCGGGCCTCTAAGGATTTGGAAAAATTTTTTTAAAGATTTTATTTATTTGAGAGAGTGAGAGAGACCACAAGCAGGGGGAGGGGCAGAAGGAGAGGGAGAAGCAGATTCCCTGCTGAGCAGGGAACCTGAGGACGCGGGGCTCAGTCCCAGGACCCTGGGATCATGCCCCGAGCTGAAGGCAGATGCTTAACCAACTGAGCCATCTAGGCGCTCAAAGGATTTGGAAAATTTTATCATAAGGACTGTGGGAAGGCATTAAATTTTTTTTTCTTTTTTTTAAAATTATGTTAATCACCATACATTACATCATTAGTTTTTGATGTAGTGTTCCATGATTCATTGTTTGTGTATAACACCCAGTGCTCCATGCAGAACGTGCCCTCTTTAATACCCATCACCAGGCTAACCCATCCCCCCACCCCTCTCCCCTCTAGAACCCTCAGTTTGTTTCTCAGAGTCCATAGTCTCTCATGGTTCGTCTCCCCCTCAGATTTCCGCCCCCTTCATTAAATTTTTAAGCAGGGAAGTTCACAGTAAGGTTCAGAAGACTGTAGCCAAGTTAAAAGCAGAACAAGTTAGCAGGCTACTTAAGAATTAAGACAGTGTAAGTGATCCAAATGGAAAGAGATGAAAGCTCTGTAGTAAGGAAGAGTCTATTTGACAGGTATTGAGGCCCTCATCTCTGAGATGATGCCATAATAGAATTAAAGTGGAAAAGAAGTGTCTCCTCATTTGGCTAATTTATGGTGATACCAGATTACTAGAAGAATGGAGGCTCATTTGCCTTTCCTTTCTTTACTAAGAAGTCAATGTAATTGCAGCTAATTCTTTTGAGTTTCTCACAGACTAGGAAAATCATTCAATCTCTTTTTAGAAAATTATTAAATCAGGTGTTTAAATTATAATCTAGGCTTGTATCTGGGGCCTTTTGGAAACCAACCTAAAGTTTCTAGCTGTTCCTTAAATGAAATAGTTTTATTTATAAAGGACTTCAGTATTCAAATATATTTCCTAGCAAGACAAAATAATGGCTGGCAAATTAAAAATTATCTTTAATGTTGAACTGATTTTTTAAGAACTTTCTTGTAGGTGTTTTATGTTTTATAATTTAGATCATAGAAGTGAGTGATGAGTTAAGAAGAAACAAGCAAAACATTGTGAATGGATTGAACATATTTTTGGAAGAAAATGGTATGTTCTCAGAAGTTAATTTTATTTA